CGTCCTGGGTAAAACTATAAACTACATCCGTGTCCTGGGTAAGACTACATCCGACAGCAAGGCCCTTGATCAGAATGTATTGAAAAGCATGAGACCACTTTTTAATTGCTGGTGTTCCCAGGTTCACCCTGGACCGGGTTGCTGGCACCTGTCAGGGTCCCAGCTATGGGCAAATAGTTATCCTCCCCCGATCAAATGGGGTCAAAACACTAAGAAAGTGTAAAATAGTTTTTAATACCAGCAATACTTTTTTGAAAATTATCACCAGCAATACATTTTTGGAAAAAAATATTACCAGCAATACATTTAAAAAAAATATATCCAGCAATACATTTTTTTTTACCAGCAATAAAAATCGTGTCGGCGTTAAATAACCCATTGAAGTTGATATGCCGTAAAACGTAACAAAACAAACCAAACTAAACCAAACCAAACCAAATATTTTCTTTCCAGACAGTAATAATAATATGTAGTTGTTGCCTTACATCAAGCGGTTTCAAATAGTAAGAATTACACTTCGGAATAAATCCTTATCATGTACACACATGTTTTCTTAAAAGTCTGAACTACCATAATAACACCAATACGCGCAATCTACATAAACCCAAAATTTAAAAAAATAATAATCATTTTGTCTGACGATCGCAAAAGCGTGAAACCCAGGGTCACAAACTCACATCAATCCAACCAAATATGTTAGCGCATATAACATATAAATAATTATATATATATATATATATTTATTTATATTTATACACACACACACACACACACACACACATATATATATATATATATATATATTATTCGAGAGATTAAACAGTACAAAGATCGAGAGGCATTGAATGTAGGTCTTTTTATGGATTGATTTTTACGGCTTATTAACCCGCTAAAACATACATTGAATTGAAATACTTTTGATTTGCTACTTTTGGAAGTATAGCATTAACAAATTTATTGAGAATAACAATTACTTTTTCAGATAGAAACAAATAATATTTAACCCATATCTGGGGTCAAGAGATGGATTTCCCAAGGTTATTTAGGCGTAAGTGAATGTAAAAAAACTACTGGAATCCTGATTTCTTATTCCGAGAAGCAATTTATATAATAAAGCATTGTTTAGCCGTTCTTATCCGAGTATTGCTGTCTCCTAGTATGGCTAGCAGATCCCTGTTGCAGGTGCCTGGTCAGGCATATTTGCGTTTGTTTAACACACATAGTGTGGTTTATACTGCAACTATGTTGATCAGAGCTAGGTTTCATTCTCAGTGCGAGAGCGCATTATCTGGCGTGATCAACATTCTGGACAAGGCAAGCACGCTCAAAGCCTCGATCACGATGACTTGTGACTTCGTGTTAGCACAACCAGCGACGGCTCCCAGATAGTTGCGTCTACCAAATTTCAAAAGGTACGCACGTTGGAAAAGCCTCAACGCTATCGTCACCTTTCTGCCAATTCAACCATGGTGAGATTCGTTTCTCGTTATTCTAGCCACTTGGCCATGTGCCCAATTCTATTCATTATATCAACCACATATCCATCATTCAGAGTAGAGGTTTATCTATATTTCTGAGATGAGGTATTATGTACACTATTTACATTATTCGGACTAGTGTCCTCATCTTTGTCGCCATATTTATTACAACGTTTCAGCCGTTGTACGCTCCGGCCTTCTTCAGGTGGTTGGAGTGTCGAACTGAACCCTTTATTTCGCTCACTGGAGTAGACTGTTCTAGTTCCACGTGTCATCTTTTAATGGATGTCAGTTATTAGTTATCTCCTTATTAATGCCCTTCTCCAAGTTAACCACGGTCCCATGTCTCCTCGAGGACACATGCCACAGTGGATAAAGTCGTTAGTTAGACCAAGTGACAGGACCCAAAGAGTTTGAGTTCAATACCTTGTTAAAGCAGTGATGAACTTTCAGAGGGGAATTAAAAGGAGATAATTGACATACATTAGACATTGCACGTGGAATTAGAACAGTCTACGTCAGTAGAAATAATGGGTTCAGTTCGATATTCCAAACAACTGAAGAAAACCGGAGCGTACAACGGCCGAAACGTTGTGATATATATGGCGACAAAGATGAGGACAATCTTAAATAGGGGAGAGGTTTACTTGTGTTTGATATAAAAGAGGAGGTGATTGGAAATTAAGCTTATATTGAAAGGATGGTATAAAAACGACAGCACCCTGATTTAAAGGGGTAAAATTCTAACGTTACACTTGTACTCTTCGAGGTGGTGTAGTGGTTAGTGCAGCTTGTTTTTTTTAGAACAATTACGACTGAGTAGTGAGTTCGATCCTCATTAGTTGTCCCATATTTTCCGCTTTGTGCCACATCTAAGCTATGCTTGGAAAATCATTACATGAAGCTACAGTTCTTGGGAAAAATGTCTGGCTTCACTTTCTTATATTTTTAACACGAAGTAAATACGACTGTTTAGACTTGGTAGAAGTGACAGGGCATGTCCAGATTGTAAAGGTCTTGGGACAAATGAATGAATCTCATCAAAACATTTGCCATGGAAATAGCGATAGAGTCGCAGCGTTTCATCTGAAAGAAAAGAGGGATTATTCCATATAGCTTTCTGGTCGTGAACGATAGCGGTTCTCCACAACTTCCTGTCTTTTTGCTTTCTAAATCACTGTTCATCCAACCATGTACACACTCTCGTTAGGTCGGTTATTCACTATTTTCTCTTTTCAATTGAGTGACATCCTTTGAGTGTCAAATTCTCCAAGCATTCTTTTCTCATGGTGTGTCCTAATCTCTTTATTTTAAATATGTGTCCTTTTTGTTTCCATTCATTCACGTGATCAGTCCAAAGGATTTTCAGCATCCTTCTGTAGAACCAAATTTATGTTGCCTTATGCCTCGTCTTCATCTGTGAGGGAATCGTCCAACATTTTCTGTCTGTATGGTAGACATTTGGCACGTGAAAGAAATGAGAATCGAATACGTTTGACTTTGTTTTCGAACGTTGTTAATTGAATTTTCTTACGCAGAGTGCTGCGCGTCAGTCGACCAGCGTGGCTCGGTCGGCTGTCCACAGAGCGTCAGCTTCCACACGATGCTCGCTGCTCACACTACGGCGTTCGACTAGCCCGGACGCAAAGTGAATATATATATATATATATATATATTATAATTATTTTTAAAGAAATATGATTCCTTCGCTACATAAGAGTTCTCATGTTTCAAAAACGAGAGCCGAAAACCTCAATATAATTATTAAAATTAAATTGAATTAAAGTATCAGGCCATGTTTCATCCTCAAGCGAAAATTTAGGAATAACCAATATTGAAATTTACGCATCTTTATCAGCATGTTCATTCGCAAAATTAATTACTATGGAAAGGGCTGGGGCGACCATTTTGATACTGAGACTAAGAGTTAATAATTTTTATCCACATATCAATCACCTTAGGAAAGAGATCAAGCCGAGGTAGTGTCAGGGTGTCCATTTCAAAGCGAATGATGGCATTCATGTACGCACATCGTCTGGTTTGAGCTCTACTTCTGTATGGAGCACCGTTGTTTTTTTTTAAATAAAGACAAACGTACTAAAGAACTCCGGATTATTTACCTAATGTGTTCTTTCTTTTTTTTCTACATATCTGCATATATATATATATATCTTTAGATGTCGAAACAAATATGCATTGTTGTGGTAAATTCTATGTTCCAATGTAACATTTTATTATTATTATTATTATTATTATTATTATTATTATAATTATATATATATATATATATATATATATATATATATATATATATAACTGACAATATTCAGAAGGTCTAAACATATTTAGAAAGGAAAGGAAAAGCCAAAGAACCAATCGGCTTTTTAATGTTGGGTTCAAGACCAACAGAAATAAACATGACACAAAATTGTGTCGAATAATAGGTTTCGTATTTGTAATTCTGTAATATTACATCATTGTCAAACTGAATCTTACTGTCTCCAGTTTTATACTCTGCCCACTTAATATTTCGCTTTTATTTCGACAACATTAAAAGGCATTCCTATTATTTTTCATGATATGTTGACATAAATGTTGCAATGGAAATATTATATTGTTAGGAAATAATATACAATGAATAAGTATAAAAATAATTGAATTTTAATGTCTATCTTTGGTGAGCAAATGGCATCCAATTTGCGTTGACTAATTAAATGGAAAGAAAGTAACATTTATTGTTTATTGTCTTTGCTCAAAATATTGTCATGGTATTTTCCATTATGCTGATATCTGTGGCTAGAATTTTTACAGCAGCGAATGTTGGACGGTCTCCTCAAAGATTAAAAGACTCAAGGCAAAAGGAGGTATTATTCTACAGAAGAATGCTAAGGATATCATGGCCAAAGTGTGTGAGCAACGAAGAGATTTTGGAGAGGATGCAAACAAGGAGCAAGCTTATACTTAACATCAGGAAGGGGCAGCTGAAATTTCTTGGACACGTAATGAGAAAGGGGGGCTCGGAGAATCTGGCACTCACAGGTCGAATAGAGTGAAAGAGAGACAAGGAAAAGCAATGCATGACATACCTGGCGGGCTTAATCAAGTGGGTGACAGAACGTGGCCTAGGGGAAGTAGCAAAGGAACAAAAGTTATTGAGAGCTACAAGGCATAGGACAAAGTGGAGAGCCATGATCGCCAACGTACTGAAGGGACAGGTCGAATAAAAAGAAGAGTAATGATTAAAATGGCTACATTACAATGAATTGAAGAATATAAGATAATGAATTTTGTTGAAAGGTGAAAAGGAAAACGGATAATATTTAAAGAATTATGAGGTTCAGATGAAGAAACAAGTAAAAAAATATATATATGGAGAAAGAAAAAACGAAATGAAGGAAGAATATGGATAGGGAATAAAAAGAAAAAGGGAGAAAAAGGCGAAGGAAATTAAGAAAGGAAAAAGAAAGAACGAAAGAAAGAACAAACGAACGAAACAAAAAAATGAAAGAAAAATAAATGAAGTTAAAATAAAAATATACAATAAAAGAAATGAAAGCAGAAATGTCGGAGAAAAGAAGGAAAGAAAGAACGTGTGAAGGAACGAAAGAAAGAATAGAAGAACCAATGAGGGAGAAGGAAATGAATGAAAGAAAGGACGAAAGAACGAACGAAGGAACGAAAGAAAGAAAGAAAGAAAGAAAGAAAGAAAGAAAGAAAGAAAGAAAGAAAGAAAGAAAAGAGAATGAAGGTAAGAAAGAATGAAAGAAAAAAGAAAGAAAGAAAGAAAGAAAAGAGAATGAAGGTAAGAAAGAATGAAAGAAAAAAGAAAGAATGAAAGAAAAAAGAAAGAAAGAAAGAAAGAAAGAAAAAAGAAAGAAAGAAAGAAAGAAAGAAAGAAAAAAGAGAATGAAGGCAAGAAATAATGAAAGAAAAAAAGAAAGAAAGAAAGAAAGAAAGAAAGAAGGAAAAAAGATAAGGATAAAGAATAAAAGGAAGGAAAATCGAGTCTCGAGTCACAGGCGAAGGAAATTTAAAAAAAAGAAGAAATGACATGAGAGAACGAAAGAAGGAAAAGAAGGAAAAAAAAACATGCGATGGAGCAACGAGTGAAATATTCTGGTGCAGCTGACTTTTCTCCATTCGCGATAAACGTTTACATTCTCAATGGGGCCCGATGCTTTGAACGATTGTCGGGTCTCAAGTTCACTCCAAACCTCATATGGAACGCATATATACATTTCATTGCTGAAGAGTTTAGAAAAAATGGTTGGCCCATTCTGTCGTTCCATAAGATTTCTTGAATCATTCTGTGATGCTTTATCTTTGCAAGAATCAGATTAGACCTAAAATATCTGGACTGGAACTGCACAATCTTCCTTTTTCAAAAAACTCCATTCCCGATTCTACAGCCTCAGAAAAAACATCGCAAGATAATCGCTACTCTGTGAGTATTTCCATGGCAAATATTCAAATGACGACTTCATTCTTTACTTCCTCTAGTCCAGACTTTTGAAGCAACGCAAATTCAACGAAGTTGTGTTATCCTAATCCCTACACGACATTCCAAATGTAGGAATATAGCTCCACTGAGATTTTTCCCCCATAATCATCACTTTGTGGGATATATACGTGTGTGGGTACTTCCAAGGCTGACAGGCACATCGATTTACAGTTGATCTGGCTAGATGTAGGCGTAAGTTCTATGCTAACAGTTTCTTTTGCTTGTGGCTCCATGCTTTGTAGCCAAGTTTAATGTACAAAATTTAAATGTCAATCGATATCTACAATTCTCTTGATTATTCTTTTTCCATTCATTATTAATGTTTCTGTTCATAATTCTGACACACCTTGTAATCTCTTGCGTTGTAGTGGCTTTACTGTCTAGCATGGGGTGATAACGATTTAAAAAACAAGCAAAAAACAAAAAAAATAAAAACTTTGGAAAGCAAGAAGCTCGATAAGATGTACACAAGCGAAAAAAGAAACTTAGCATAGAACTTACGGTTACATCTAACTAGTTCAACTGTAAAATAATGAGACCTTGCCGCCAATCTAGTACTGAACTTAAATTTATAAAGTCTAGGGACCATAGCGAATAGTTCATGCGAACAATTACCACGAAAGTACATATAGAAAAGGCAAAGGGAAGCAAGTTTATGGCGGTGGGAAATTAACTAAAGCCGAGATACCAGGTCAGAACCAATAATATTGCTGATTCTTCTTTGGATTCTATCAAGGGTCTGTAAATATATAACAGGAGCATCAGATCAGATGTGGCAGTTTCTTTTTTCGCTTTTGGCTCCATGCTTTCTAGCCAAGTTTAATCTGCATAAATTTAAATATCAATCGCTATCTACTGTTCTCTTGATTATTCTTTCGTTTTCCACTCATTAGTAATGTTTCTGTTCCTAATTCCTCCACATACCCTGTAACCCCTTGTGTCTTAGTGGCTTTACTACCTTGCATGGGGTGATAGCGATTAAAAAAACAAAATCTGTAAAGCAAGAAGCTCGATGAGAGGTCCAAAAGCGAGAAAAGAAACTGTTAGCATAGAACTTACGGTTACATTTAGCCATTTCAACTGTAAAATCACGAAACTTTGCCCCCATTTGAGTACTGTGGTTACATTTATAAAGTCTAAGTACCATAGAGAAAAGTTCATTAGAACAATTACCATGAAAGAATTTATGGAAAAGGCACTGGAAAACTACATTGCAACGGTGGGAATGTGACTGAAATGCCAGAGTAATCTGGTCAAAATCTTAAACCGATCATAAAAAAAAAAACATGCACATATAAGCTTGAAGGAAATAAATATCCGGTCTTTTAGACTCAGGGTAAATTTTCGACGTTCACTTTGCCGGGAATTTTTATAATTAAATCTTTACGATCAATATCAAGATGGACACTTTTTATGGGTATATAAAAAAACAGAAGTCACCAGGCAAAACTGAGTTGTCATTGTTATTACAGACCCCCTTATCAAATTGTGACACACATAATGAGTTAGACTGCGTTTTATTTAAATCATTTCCTATCCACAAAGAAATAAGGCCACTAAGAGTTTACTGATGGTAAAAGTATATGAAAAATGTAAAACATTATTAAAGCAATAGAATGAAAAAAGAAACATGCATTACGAAAACAGAAGATAAAGATTGACATTGCATTTAAATCGAATGTTCCTCATTTCCACCCCACAACATTCCAAAAGTAGGAAAAAAGTACCCCCCCCAGGCAGCTTTTTTCCTAAGAATCATCACTTTGTGGGGCATACACGTGTGTGCGTACTTGCAAGGCTTACAGCCATATCATTTTGAAACACCGGTTCCCGTACAATCACCGAAGTTAAGCAACGTCGTGATTGATCAATACCTAGATGGGTACTGTTGTAACTAAGGAAACGGAAGCACTGTTTCAGCATTGTTCAGACACGGAAGTGCCGTGTCGGCCATATTGTTTATGTATGAATAAAATGCAGGAGTATCGCTTCTACAGACAGAAGTCACCAGACTAAACTACGTTATCATTACAGCTGCCACCTTTACCAAGTTGTGACAGTGGCCATTGGGAATACCTGGTGCTGTCACCTTTGGTGTGCGGGAATTGTTAATCGGTGAGCCGAGTTCGAATTCTCGTTAGGTTCGTTATATTCATTTACATGCAAATGCCTTTCTCCCCACCCCGCAGATATAAGTTAATTAGTAAGACGAGTATCGTTAAATCATTATTACCTAAAAAAATTCTTACAATCTGATTTTATTTTCTGGTTTTAAATAACCTGAAAAAAGGGTTGATAAGCCATAAAAAACGAATCAACAAAAAGATTTCAAAGGGCCAATCGTTACCTAACCTTTCCGCTTTCATTCCTATTCATCATTGCAATAGTAACCCCCTATCTCTGTGGTACATTTTCGTATTAAACACTGTAAACGGATGATGTTATTTTTGCTCATGTATCTATATGCATGCCGTAAAAAAGGTACCTACAATGTAACTTGTATTTTTATTACTCTAACAAGTCTTCATCTTGCATTTAGCTGACGACGATCAGGGTACTCAACAACACTTTCCATCCAGTTTTTTTTTTTTTTGGAAACGTCGATGGACTAATTATTTCCATCTCTCATTTGGCTGACCGTAATCAGTTTAATCAACAAAGCAACTGTACTTTTAAATAATTTCGCAATGATAAGCCTTCCTCGTCCCTAATTTCGTTGGGCGTAACCAAAAGATGCAGCTACACTTTGTAATTATTGCCGTGGCAAAGAGAAAGAAATGTCTTCCTTATCTCTGAATTGGCTGTCTATGATAATGATTGTCAATAAGTGCCTGCTTTTAATCAGGATATTATATGACACTTTCACGTATCTCAACCCAAAAATGTACCTAGATTTTTTCTTCTTTATTTGGTTAGTTTTCTGTCTACGGAATAATAACATGATTTAATATTTTGTATGATATATTTTATATGAATAAAGACAAAAGGAAAGCTTATCTTAGACGACGCGTTTCGTCCTCTGACAGACTTTATCAAGGCAAATGTAAGGATTTTATTTTGTAAGAAGCATTTATAAAAAAAAGTGAAAACGTTGTTATTATATTTAACGATAATTTTCTGAACACTTGTTTAAAATAAATTTATATAGAAAATCTTATATTATGAAATGGATGAAGTCCTACAATTATTTTCATATATTTATTGTTCAAACGTTGCTTTTATAGATACAAATATTTAAGTAAATGCTCTGTTTATAATAATGATAATAAAAAGTATTAACAACATTTACCGGCCTGAATACCTTCCTCTGTAGCTAAATGGTATAGCACTTCAGGCTATATGAAGGTTCCGTGTAGGATACAGGTTTGATTCCTGTCGGAGGACACATTTTCTATGAAATTTATCAAACATTCTGACTGGTAAATGTTGTTAATACTGTTTATTATAAACATAGCATTTACTTAAATATTTGTAGCTCCAAAAATAACGTATAAACAATAAATATATTAAAATAATAGACAATCTTCAAAAATTTCAATGCAACGTAAACTGCCCTATTCTACCTGCTATGAAATAAAAATCAGATTTCATTGTCTTGTTCGGTATCCTATCTAAGAAAGACCTTTTTATTATGTCACTTAGCGTCCTCCATAACCAACCAAGGCTGTTCAGATAACTTGATGAATATTTATGAGTATTTCTTAAATTTAAAATTTTGAATTGAAGGAAGGATAACAGCTGAACGAGATTCAAGAAGATGGCAGTTTATGTTGCATTGAAACTTTTGAAGATTGTCTATTATTTTAATATATTTATTGTTTATACGTTATTGTTGGAGCTATAAATATTTAAGTAAATGATTTGTTTATAGTAAACAGTATTAACAACATTTACCGGCCTGAATGTTTGATAAATTTCATAGAAAATGTGTCCTCCGACAGGAATCAAACCTGTATCCTACACGGAACCTTCATATAGCCTGAAGTGCTATACCATTTAGCTACAGAGGAAGGTATTCAGGCCGGTAAATGTTGTTAATATTTTTTATTATTATTATTATAAACAGAGCATTTACTTAAATATTTGTATCTATAAAAGCAACGTTTGAACAATAAATATATGAAAATAATTGTAGGACTTCATCCATTTCATAATATAAGATTCTTTATATAAACATTATTTTAAAGAAGTGTTTATAAAATTATCGTTTAATAAAATCACAGTCTATAATTACCACCTTATATAGTTGCCTCGTAGGTAAATATATACCTATGTCCTCAGTTCCCTGAAGAACGTACTGATGGAGCAGAAGCTCTCATAGGAGAGGCGGCTTTTGGTAATCCTGGCCCTTAAAGCGACCTCATATTGGGAAGTGCCACAAGTCCTTGGGCAATTTTGGTTTTTAGTTACATGTAAATCTGGGTAAACAACTTTAATCCCAGATTTTAATCTATGTTCAGTTTGAGTGAGCGTACGAAAACCTGTCAGACGTATGCCAAATATGATTTTTGTTCCTATCATATTTTCCGCCACCTCCTCTCGGCTTCGCTGGGAAAATCTCTTCAAGATTTTATATTCTGGATTTTGTCCCTAACACGTTTTTAATTTAGAGGTGAAGATTGGAAGAAATTTTGTTAGA